ATTGCTATCGTCCCAAATTCGACAATTCTGTTTGTTCACGTACCCATTCATTCAAAAATCGGCCTCATCGCTGAATATGATTTTTCTATAAAAATTAGGGCCACTGGCAAACTGCTCCATTTAGCGAATACACGTCGTTGTCTATAGTCGTTTACCTTCAGTTCCTGAATCAGTTGTATTTTGTACGGGTGCAGGCCCAAGTCACAATGCGAAATTCTTCAAGTTGGGGTCTGCGAGAGGCCGAGTTCTTGTGAGCGACGCGAAATCGATTGCCTCAAATTATTCTGCACACTCTCACAGACAGCAGCGATGTTTCCGACAGATCTTGCGTTTCGTCGACGTACAGGTGTTGATCGATCGTTGACTGAACCAGTGGACTCAAATTTATCCACCACATCATCTGAATCGCATTCCATTTTATCAAATACATGACCCAGATATCTAACTTCTTTTTGTCTACATTGCCATCTACTTTTATTGAATTTAACGTTGTTGTGTTGCTCGTTCAACACCAAACCGTTATTTTAACACCTCGACACGTGTTTCGGTCTTCAAGAGAAAGATGAAACTGAAATCTTCCATTACTTTCGATGAAATTACGACGTGTACCGCTACACTTGATCTGGCAATTAGTAGATCATCAAAATAGATAATTTTATCAGGTATATTCCCAAATACTTCTTAATAATACTTTTGGTTTAATTCTGGAGCACAATTCAACCCAAAAGATAACCAATTGAATTTACATATACCAAATGTCGTGCTTATGCTCACAGTTTACTTGATTCCTTATCTAAAGGAATATGATAAAACCCCTCTCTGAAGTCTGAAACAGAAAATCAATATTTACCAGTGAAAACAGAACTTATTTATTGGAAAGTGGATATTATATATAGTAAGAATGAATTGTTTACATTATATGGAAATCTTAATAATTTCAATAATTCAAGTGTAAGGAAAGAGATGAATGTCAACTCTTTAAATGAAAACATGAAAGAATAAGAATTGATAGAAAATTAAAATAACTGTTCACAAAATGGATACAAAGAGTATTAGGGAAAGTTATCTTCACAATATTCAAGCAATACTAGTAGAATAATTATATTTGTGAACAAATTCGATTCAGTCAGTGAGAATTTTGCATTTATATTAAAAACTAATATAAGTCCACACTGTGGAAATATCCCTTGACGCACCGCACTGCTTATAGTGCATACACAGTACAATGATGTGCAAAAAGCAATTCCTAGTTTCCATAAAAATTATTAATAGGAAATACCCGTGATATGAATGAAATGAATCGATTTTAATCAACGGGAACATCAGTTTTGCTCAGTATTCCGTGTGAAATCTGATTTCACGGCAAACCTAATTTCAATGTAAAAGAATATTATTGTGATGAGATTTACTCGAGTATACGAGGTAAACCGAAGAAATGACACACCGCATAAAGTGAACCGGGTGTAATATGAACTGAAATTTTAAACTAGCCCAGATTCAACTCATGAAACTAAATTTCGGAAAAACCTTACGTTTCCAACAAATATGTTTTCATCATGGCAAGCTTATATTTAATTTTGCAGGTTGAATTTGACCCTCTTTCCAGTGTCCGATTGAGTTGAAATTTTGCACACATGTTTGGTTCTCCGTAACTATGAAAAATTATCCAAATGGCGCCAATTTCAATTCAGTATGGCGGACGTTACAAAATGGCGACTCATTACTTTTACAGTAACCCCAATGACCAAAGTAGCATCATTGTAAATCCAATATGCTGGATCTCCCAAGATCGTGTTTGTTTTCTTATGCTCACCCTTGATATGGGTATCAAATAAAGGGGTTTGCGGAGGTACGCCAGTCTAAATCGAATATGGCTGACTACCAAAGATGGTGAACTATGTTACTTTTACAACTGTATGATATAAATATCAAATGAAAGGATTAAAGGGGCACAATTAAGATGGCGGAAAACAAATGACCGCTATACTCATTTGAGAGAATCGGCAAAGGGATAGTTCAGTGGTGATCGAAAAATGTTTATAACAATGAATATGAAATAAACAATTTATATGATACGAAAGATCGTCGTGAGATTCAGCTAGGTCGATAAACAAAAATACAATATGTAACTTGATATTGACATAAGTATTTCTAAGAAAATTATTATTTCTTTATGAAATGGGAGAATACATCTCGCCACCAGTTTTTTGTCATATGAATTGTGTTATGTAATCAATTGATTGGTTTGATTGAATTTAAAGTTTATTTTCTTCTTTTAGGGCATATAAAGGCTATAGTTTTCAAATAGTTTTTTCTTCTAATTTATTCCAAGTTCTATTTGCACTAGTTGAATCTAGCTTGGCTAGTTTGGGTTACAGGTTAGATTTTTTTAGGTTAGTTAGGTAAGGTCAAAAGTGAGTGGGTCTATTCGACCCTTCACCACAACCCGCAAGGGTTTATTGTGGCTCACACCTATTCATACTCGACCAAATAAACTCAACTTCTTAACGAAGCCGATTAGTTTGTATGGTGAGTGGTCTTTCAGGTCAGATGGTAAGAGTACGGATCTGCCAAACTCTGAAAACCTGATTCGATCCGCAGCGGGGCAGGCATAAACTATGTGCTCTGCTGCTTCATCATTTTCCAAACAGAGGCGACTCACACTGTATTCCGACAGTCTGAGTCTCTGCATATAATGATTCAAATGACAGTGACCTTTAAGAAGGATTGTTAGACATCGTAGTTCATCCCTACTATAGTCAACAACTGTTTGCTTTCAAACTTGGAAGGGTGAATAAACGCCTTGGAGTGAGCCAATCCTGGAAGATTTTGCCAGAAGTCCTTAAATCTTCTTGCCATCCAGGTGTTCAATGCTTGTTTGGCAAAATCTGAAGGTTTTGCTCCAATGAAGCTACTAGCAGCACCCTCCTTTATCAGCAGCCTCATTGTCTTCCAGGCCAGTATGGCCAGGAATCCAGTACAATGTGTTAAGTCTTCCTATCGAGGAGACTCGTTTTTGGTACTTTGCTACCAATTTAGACGTTGCTCGGTAGGAGTCAAGAGCTTCCAACGCCGTTTGACTCTCCGCAATAATTCAATATCATAGATTTCTGCTTGAAATACAGTCGCATAGTAGATTTTATTACAGTAACAATCACCGTGAAAGGTTGTTTAGCCACGGGAGTAACTCAGACCCGTTTGAAAGCTAACAGTTTCATTTCGAAATGGGGGACATTGAAAATAGTTTTTCAGACCCCTGCCCCGTATTCAGTGTATTGTGATCATTTTGACGAATTTACTAAACAAGTTCTTTACTTATGATAGCACCCTAGTGTGATGAATGACAATTCTAATAATATCCATTCTCTTTACTGTTTTACGAAATTGGATATATTCACATGTTCTTCAAAACGAGTTCCAGTAGCTTCTTTATTGTGACAAACATACTTTTTATAGCAGACATCACAACCCATTTCATAATCTTCAGACCTCTCTGGTCATCATTTTGCATTACAGATATTCTAATAGTTCTTGGAAAAAACTTTCACTGTCACGTTGACATTTTTGAAAGTCTTATCCAACGAATGTGCTTATCTTGGTTAATATTAAATCGGGATCATCCTGTATTATGTGTTGTTTCTCGGGAATCACTATTGGAACCAGCTCCTTATTTATTAGAGGTACAGGCCGTTTTTTAGCCGATCCCACTATTGATATCTCGGAAACAGAAAGGCCTACAAGAACTTTTGAATTGGACAGAAGTTTCATGTTTTGGGAACTCATTTTCAGATCAATAATATCAGTGGTTGTTTTCGAAATATTCGCTAAAAGCTAGAATTGACGAATTTCGTTTTGTGGCTCTACCGCCCCCATTTCGAATGGGCACTTTCAACAATGTTTCATTTTTGTTATAAACTGGTATAAACCAATGTCCCTAAGAAGTTCTTCAATATTTCATAATCTACTCCGCCACACGACGGAATATGTTACAAACAATCATTTCAATAATGATTCATGGCTCCAAGCAACTCTTCCTGTAAACCTTGGCGGATTAGGGCTACGTTCAAGTTTATTACATAATTGATCAATATGTTGATTCCACATTAATTTTTTATCTGGAACAGTTCCTAGCATATTCACAGTTCCTATAGAACTAATTGATTTTTCACTATTTTCATATATATCCCATTCGATTCCCTTTGATCACGTCTGCTAAACAATATGATGTTAGTGATAGATTGATATTGTGTAGCAATTCTGTGAATGATATCTGATTCAATTCCACGATGAATGTTTGGAAAACAAACTGAATATAGAAAAGTGTTTTAGTATATTTAGTGTTTACATAAAAGTAGTTGTTTGAAAGTTTTTTTTTTCGTGTAGTTCAATGTTAATATGAAAGTAGTTGTTTCGAGAGGGTTTTTTTTTCAGTTTGTGTCTGAAAGTTACTTTTTTGAATGATCCACATGATCTTTGTATAGTACTTGTAATGCACTACTGGGAACCTTTAGTGTATATAGTAATAAATATTACTGATGAAGATGATCACTTGGTGATAGAAACACGTGTCGATGTGTTAAAAATAACGGTTCGTTGTTAGGATAAAGCTCCCGTAATATTCATCTTTGTATAGACTTATTTTTTGGAATCTGATTGCTTTCTTCCTTTCTTTGGAAGATTGCAATATTTTTTGTATAAAGTAGGAGAAATAGAAAGCCAAAAACTTTCTTTCCTAAAAATTACTCTCTCCTAAAAATATACCCCTTTCAATTTGAACATATATTCATGTTTTCAGTTGTGATGATATCATCTCCAATGTTTATTTTCAGAAATCATCGGATGTACACTTTTGTTTTTTTCTTGAGTCGAACAAGCGCTAGCAAGTCTTCATATTGCCGTCTGAGATGATGGCAAAGCGTCGACTTTTGATAAATACACAGAAGAACATCTCCAAAAGCAACTTCACATATCAGATTCTCCTGAATGAAAGTTCTTTCAAATCAAACCAAAGTATCTCTTTATTGATTATTCAAAACATTTAATGAACAATGTTCAAACAATCTCGATAAAATTAGAAGAAACTTCAATCAACCTCCAAATACATGCCCAATTTTTTCGGAACTCTTTATACCTCTTCTACCGGAATTGAATCCATCAAGGTTCAACCAGTCACTGTCTGATCCCGATCCAGGGATTTTTGAATTGGATGCATAATTAAGAAGGTTGAGACTACGTTTGCCTGGGCTGAATCCCCCATGTATCCATTCACTGTCAGATCCTGAGCCAGAAATTTTTGAGTTCGCTGCACCGTCATCAAAAAGATTGAGGCTACGCTTTCCAGGAGTTGCACCTCCGTGTATCCAGTCATCATCCGACCCAGATCCTGGAACACCTCCATTACTGCAACTTTCATCCATAAGATTGGCACAACGTTTCCCTGGACTGAAGCCTCCGTCTATCCATTCAGTGTCAGATCCTGAGCCAGAAATTTTTGAGTTCGCTGCACCGTCATCAAAAAGATTGAGGCTACGCTTTCCAGGACTGAAGCCTCCATGAATCCAGTCATCATCTGATCCAGAGCCTGGAACACCTCCATTATTGCAACTTTCACCCATAAGATTGGCACAACGTTTCCCTGGACTGAAACCTCCATTTATCCAGTCACTATCTGATCCGGACCCAGAAATTTTTGAGTTGGCAACACTGTCATCAAAAAGATTGAGAGACCTTTCGCCAGAGGAGAAACCACCTCTGGAGTTTAGTATTCTTTTGTTCGATGATGGGTTGAATAATTTACCCAGTGAGCTGAAGAGGCCTCTTTGATTTGGTTTGTGGTATTCACTAGAATATTTATTTGCATGCCATTGCTGAAGAGGTACTGCAGTTGTGAATCCCAATAAGACGATTAAGAATAGGGTTGAAGTGTTCATTTTTCCTGGAAACGAGAAAGTAAAATATTTTAATATAATGACTGACTGAGGAAAGTTTTTTGTTTGCTTCAAGGATGTAATTCTTTGAAAAAAAAACAGTAAAAGTTGTTGCCCCATGAATTTACACCGTAGATTTGGTTTGCAAAATGATAAAATTGAATGAATGATACATTGTTTGAATTTCGTTGGGATTATGTCGTTATTAAATTCAGATGGTTCATATGATGCATGGTTCATATGAACGTGTGTACGAAATATGTGGTTTATGCACGATGGGGCACATGCTCATTCCAGTGGAACCGCTCGTGAATATCTTACTGATACTTTTGCTGAACAGTGGATCTCAACCATGGCCACCTAGATCTGCAGACTTGAACCCTCCGAATTATTTCTTTTTGGGATATCTTAAATTAAATGTTTGTCGATGAAAATGACTTATGAATAATTATAATGTCATACGCATTACATTTAAGGACGTGTGTACTACTCAATGAGGAGAAGACCTGACGCTTGTATTGTAAGTCAAGGTTCTCATTTTGAGAATCTGATTTGAGTATTTTTCATTATAACCTATGCTGTTCTCCGAATGAAATACAAATTAACTAGCAGTTTGAATACGTCTTCCATCTACTATATAAACAGATTTTCATTTCAAAGTTTGTTCAAATTGCAAAGAATATCAAAACAGATTTTAAAAAGATATGAAACTCACACAAAACACCATTAATACCATTCAAGTAAAACCCTCTGCGACGCCACTGGAATTGAAATTTCAAATCTAATTTCATGAAAAACGTTTCTTGAAAATCTCAGAATAACGTGTTACTTGGATAGATAGAATTGAAACCAGCGTGAAATTAACCTTTCGAGCATATTCTAAAATCTGGGAAGACATAACTTTTTCTATCACTTTTGACAGGCATGGTAGAATACTCATTACACGAAGGTCTGCTAGATTTGTTGGATTCGCCACTTTAGGCAGGGGGCGTCCTATCGCTATTTTCCATAAATCAGGAAACTGATTTTTTTGTCTTTCGTTATTTTTATACTGTTTTTCTACTGTTCCACCAAACCAAACCCCTCCGAAATTGTTTGCTGGCAACGGCCTTGGGTCTACCTAGTACCTATTCTGTTCAACGAATTTTCCTGGATGGCATGGTGAATCAACAATTTCACTCTTTGAGTGACAAGAGTCGTAGTATTTTTTGATAACGGCTGTACCTCGTTTCTAACATACACAAAAAAATCGTTTTCCTCTTGGGAATATTAATATAGATGAAAACGTGTTCATATTCTATGAACACACCTGAAGAAGCTATTGTAAAGCGAAACACGTGTTGCTTTTCACACAGAAAAACAGACAAAAATTACAAAATTGCGTTAATGAAGACTTTCAATTTTGTATAAACAATGATCAATTGCACTCTTATCGTATGTATTGGAATAAAAAAAATACTTAAAATACCATAATTTTCACCTAGGGCAAAATTTGCAATCAAAAGTTTGTGAAAAACCAGGCGTTCCCCCCAACTATCCTCAATCCTAAAGTTTAACGGGCAAAACTTACCCCAATGTATGTAACCTGATAATCAATTATTCCACTACTACAGAGTATCGATATTGCGGCATATTTCTTTTATACAAATCCTTTATCAGACGAGGTATTATTTATGGGAGGTATTTGTTCATTATTTCCAAACCATCTGGCTATGAAATAATTAATATTAAGTCTTTCAGGAAGCGTTTATTGCTCTTGTGTTCAATAAATGGATGGAAATAATTATGTTTGTGAATGAAATGAAAATGTGGAAATATTGGAAAGTACGAGTGTGTGGCTATTGTTTCATAGTGAATACTTGAATGGATGTTAATGGGGTAAAATTTCGCATAGGCTGCACCCTCGGATTTTGAAAAAAAACGTGTGTACTTACATGTTTTGACGTGTGGATTACGAACCCGAAAACAAAACTTATGATGCCATTATGTGTGGAATATAACATCGTTTGAATGTTCTCCACGGCTTCTTTAGGTGAAATGCATCCGAAACGTTTAATTTTCCATGACTTTGGCGAATAAATCAGGCTGAATTTGACCGATAGCATGGGTTTTGTTGGCTTTGAGGACCGCTGTGGTTTGTGGCGTATTCGCATACATCTCCGACTTAAGAAAACCCCACAGGACAAAGTCTACCGGTGTCAATCACACGATCTCGATGGCCAGTTCACATCATCTCCACGTGGGATGGCCATGCCCTCAAATAGCTAGTGCAGAATATCCAATGTGGCTGTGTGGCGCGTAGCACCGTCCTGTTGAAACCACATGTCTTTGGCATCCAGATCCTCCAGTCCAGGCCAAAAGAAGTTGGTGATCATCGACCTATAGTGCTCGCTTTCGACAGTGATGGCCTGGCCAACGTCGTTTTTGAAGAAATATGTAACGATGACATTCGAGCATATTTGGCCAGTCTCCTCCCGTCAATAATTGACAAGAGCTTCGTCAGAAAGCGTGGGGGTCTTGCTCGAAGCAATGCTGTCATTCTTCCTTTTTTCAAAAAACACTTCATTTTTTCAGGGTTACTATCTTCATTCGGGTTTGAAGGCCGTTGTAGTTTGGAACTGTATCCTAACGTTCCGCCAGCACGAGTGGCTGGCTTCTTCAGTGATTTATTCATCTTGATGAGTAAACCTCTCAAGAAGCCAGCCACTCGTGCTGGTGAAACGTTTCGATGCAGTTCCAAACTACACGGTTTTCAAACCTAAATGAAGATAGTAACACAGAAGACCTTCAGATTTTCACATGAACGTGGCTCCTTTCACGTGATTATCACCACCCGGCCTGAATACCGGCGTGAAAAGGGGCTCTGACTTCAACACATATAGAAGCCTCGCGTACCTTGGTTGTGGAAGAAAGTAATCGACATGTCCGTCCACTACCAGGGCCACTACGGACCGTCCACCACGGACCGTCCACCATGGACATTGTTTTTCCATTTCTAAATGTTGAGTAAATTGTTCAAACTGAACTTGAAATACGAGGTCTATTTAAAAAATTTGGTGAATGTTGAAATTCCGCATGTTACGTAGATTCGATTAGCAATTTTTTATTTTTTTTATGGTGGTACTCTCGTCCCGATCATATGTTAACAGTATCAGCTGTTCAGCATGTTTAGTTTGTTGATGAGAAACATGATAATTGGAAGTGTTTTGCATGTTAGACGTTTTTCTGCTATCGGAAAAAATTTATTAAATAATTTGCATCAAATTTTATGTAAAAAATAGAACTGAATGCTTAAAAACACTTGAAATGTTAACAGTGGCATACGGTGATTGTATTTTGAGCCAGAAACATATTTTCAAGTTGTGCAAGATTTTCACAGAAGGTCGAGAAGATGTGAATGACGACGATCGTCCTGTACGCCCCACCATATCAACAACTGGTGAAAATGTTGAGAAAGTGAAGAAAATTGTTATGGGGAATCGTCGAATCACTATTGCCGTCATGCAATTTTTAAATTTTGGGCATGAAGCGTGTGGGAGCGTAGTTCGTTCCAAAATTGCTGAATTTTGATTTAAGAAAAAAACCGTCACATAGGCATCGCTCAGGAATTGTTGAATGACGTCCACGGCAATCCAGATTTGCTCAAAAGGGTCATAACTGGTGACGAATCATGGATAAATGGTTATGGCATCGAAACCAAATTCCAATCGTCCCAATGGAAAAGCCCAGGAGAACCAAGACCACAAATAGCACGACAATTTCGATCAAATGTCAAGGTTTTGCTCACTGGTTTCTTCAATTACCACGGCGTAGTACATCAGGAGTTTTTGCTACATAGTCGAACCACAGTAGAATAATATCTGAGCCTTCCGAGTTGCCAGGGACCTTCAACCATTCTTAGGATGAGATTCCCATCTAACGCGTTCAGTGCTGTAGTATCGAAGGATTCGACGGTACCACGGGCATCGGATTAGTAATAAATGGTCGAAAATTGATATTGTGTTTAGTTTATTCGCTGTTGTTATTATTGTTTTCAGTTTTTATAGTTTTTTATTGTTGTTTTGTTTTATTACTGAGTAATTAGAAAATGGGAGATGTAAAAAAGAAATTATTATATGAGCGCACGCCTATGGTAAAAGAACGAAATTAGCTCCGCACTTCGATTCGAGGTCACCAAGAACTTTGTTAGTTCATGAATGAAAGTAGTGGGAGTGGACTTACTGGTTGATTTTTACTGTGGTCGAACGGATTATTATTTTGAAGGTATACGCCGCTATGCGCCGAAGCAACACAAAGAAAACGTCCGATATTGTGGAAAAACAATTTATGGTTTTTGCTATAATGCATCTGCTTACTCGTTATCATGCACCGTAATCATGCCTCAGCCACCGTATTCACCAGATTTGGCGCTCGTCCCCAGTAACCAAAATTGAAGGGACCGATGGAAAGTCGGCGTTTTGCGACGATTGAGTAGATAAAAACCGAATCACTGAGAGAGCTCAAGGACATACCAAAAAGTGCATGTCAGAACCGCTGGCAAAAGTGTTATATATCTCAGGGGGACTACTCGGAAGGGAACAACATAGACATTGATGAATGAATGAATATTTTTTGAGAAAAAATAAAATTTACTTTATTTTTTAACAGACCCCGTAGATGTGTAACATTTATCGATGTGAATCTAGGTATGGGTACGAGAAAAAAATCACATATGCTGGAGAAGGATTATAAAAAGTGTATATTACTTTATATAAATAATTTAATTAGATCCATTCTTCACTACTGTTAATAAAGAACTGATTTTACTGGACGGTGCAAATATATAACTCTTTTTGTTCAGCTCGAACGGCACAAATTTTTTCAAACCTTCCAACTGACCAGTCGATTTTATTTTCCAGCCTTCTAGAAATCGGAATTCATAGATGAAATAGTTCTCATTTTCTGTGATGACACATAGGTATGCATCACTCATACCAAAACCTGAAACAAAATATAGTATATAGTTTGAAGTGATAAACGTCTCTATTACAAAACATTATGGAATTCCAAAACAAGTACTACTTCCAGAACTTTGATACTCTTCTTGACGCCAGAGCGCTGCATATAAATGACTCGCCATATATACTGGATGTATTTAAATTGGTGAATATTTTTTTTCCTTTGGTTGTGCTATTCGGGCCCCCTCCCCCGGAGCCCCGATATATTCGAGAGGTCGTGCCAGCATTATCAACCAATGACCACTCCTCACACCGTGGTGATCATTGGGTCCGATAATCATGTGCCCTAAGTAGACGTGATGAGCCAAGACTAACAGCCTTATGTATTTGTGCGGCTAAGATGTTTGCCTTAGTGCGGCAAACCGGCATGATTTTGAGTTTTGAGAATAAACCACTGCCAAAAAAAATAGGAAAATGCTTTGACACATCAATTCTATATGTTTGTGTTTGTCGTGGCACTCCAGTCTAGACAAATTTTTTCATCATATCAATTAAATGTCACACGTTTTTGTTTATTTCAGTATGACTGCATAGCAGGTTTCGTAAAGTGAATAGCTGAAAAGATGGGTATATACTGAGCAGGAAAGAAGACCTGGAACTGATCCTGGAGGCACACCCCAAAGGTGTTGTATTTTGGGGGGGATTTATCTTTGAAAAATTGGTGAAAGAACTAAAATTTTGAATTCTCTGTCTGCAAGCAATCCATTTACCATTACTATTTTTGAACATGTTATGGAAACAATTGTGATCCAAGATTTAAGGTGAAATTAAGTCCAGAAAATACATATTTCTCCAAATAATCTTAAATCCGAGTTTGTGGAAGTTTTTGAATTTTAAATTAGGTTAAGATTATCTGTATCTGTAGAGTAGGGGGGGGTGAGTGTAAGGCCACAGCACTTAAGCCACATGTGACCCATTGTACATCCTCCCGAGGAGTTGTCCTCCTAGGTCATCGTCCATCCTGTCCTTTCCAGGAAGGTGGACAGGTCATTGGGAGATATCTCCTTTATATCGGCAGGTGTAGACCAAAACTCGCCGAACACACATTCTCTTATTGACGATAACTCCGGACACTCGCATAGGACATGCCTGACACTTTCATCTTCCTGTTCACACATCCTGCATAGAGGTGTGTCCACTAGCCCCATATTATGTAGGTGTCTCCTTAGCTGACAGTGGCCAGTCAGAAATCCTACTGTAAGGCGTAGATTTTTCCTGGTCATCGCCAGATATTTCTTCGGCGCCAGCTTCCAAGGGTCGCCCAGGGTGATTCTGGCAAGATTGTATTTTTTGATTCCATCCCACCTCTATAGGGATTGAGCATGAGTGTGACGTTTGGCTAGTTCCGCAATTGTCGAAGTCATCAGGCCGTAGTTGCTACTGGGTCCTAAAATTCTTAGTTCAGCCGTTTCCTTCGCTGAAGGATCGGCAATGGAAATACCTTTACTCCTGTCGTTCCCTTTAACCCACTAATGTTATTATCTACTGAGGCTTTGGCTAAATCTTGGTGGCACTCTAGTACTAGCCCTGAGGTAACACGTTGTCTGTTCAAGGCTAATAGGGCTTATCTACTATCAGCTCGGATTGTTGTGTTTTTGCCAGAAATTCCTTTCCTGGTTATTTCTTTTGTGGCGATTGAGATACCAGCCAGTTTTGTTTGGACCACGCTAGTATTTTTTCCCATTCCCCATTCAGTGATCTGGAGTACACTCCACATCCTGAGCCTTCTTTGGTTTTTGAGCCGTCTGTATATATGCGTATTGCATTTGTAACATCTGACTCTGGTCTGTTTTATTTGTATTTTGTAGAGTTTATTAAACACAAACCTGGGTTCAATTCCATCACTGGTTGCCTGCAGCAGGGGTTGCGCAGTGAGCGCTTCTCGCCATAGGCCCAGCCTCAATTGACCCATTCCTACTTCGAGGTTTACACCAGCCGTGTGCAATCGTACTATAGCCATTACCGCAACCTCCTTAACGTGCAGTTCCAGAGGGGTCAGACCCGTTATTAATTCCAATGCCGCGGTTGGTCTTGTTCTCATGGCTCCTGTTATGTTTAAACAAGCCAGTCGCTGTATTTGATATAATTTTTGAATGGCCGTTGCTTGTAGAACTTTCGGTCCCATGCAATAGCTCCGTACGTTAACATAGATCTTATTATTGTAATGTAGATCCAGGTGACCACAAGGTGTGAAAGACCCCTTGCAATGTCCTCTAACATTGCTCATAAGCCACATATGCTCTTTTTGCTCTATTCTGTAGGTGAGAGTTCCATGTTAGCTTCCAGTCGAGGATAGTACTAGGTTAAGAGTATTAATGTATTCATTGTTTCGAATACTTAGTATTTTTTCCACAGATTTTATGAAATTTAATGGAATAGTTGATCACGTGTGAAAGTTGAGAACATAAATATTAAATAGGTGAATGTAACTTTGATGCAATTCCATTCACTCCTCTAGTACTTGATTTGGCAAATTAAAAACCTATTCTCTGTATCAATTTAGGACGTAAATTCATCTAGTTGAATCCTGCTTGGAATTGAAAAAGTATAATATTGATACTATCAAATTGATTCAATTGATTCTAAACTCACCTCCTATATAGAAAGTGGTAATTCCTATGACGGGTTCATCCAACTCGAAACTCTGGTAGGCATAATAATTATCGAAATCAGGATAATACTTCAAGACTTGAATGGGGGCCAATTTATGTGCAAGAACTATCAAACTGTCAGATCCCAAAACAACTCCAGTAGCATCGGTGCAACCAAAGGAGGGAATGGTCCTCAAGAGTTCGAACTGAAAAATAATTCAATAAAATAAAATACATAGAGTGCAAGGAATATCCAAGAGGAATGTTTATGCGTGGGAATAAACAAGTTTAAGCTATGTTATGTGGTTCCCAGATAGATTTTTCCAATGACTTACTAACAATAGGGTTTATTTTCCTCTCACTGGCAAGAAACGATTACTTCTTACTCTTTGTATAGATTGATTGCTGAAAGGTGGAAACTAATCATTGTATGTCAGCTTTATGATAGAGGAAGGAATATATAATATAGGAAAATAAAAACATACAACAGCCTACATTGTAATTGTGATGCACTGTTTGGAACCTTTGGTGTAGTAATGAATATTACTGGAGTTTTTTCCCAACACCAACCCGTTGTTTTAACACCTCGACACGTGTTTCGATTACCAAGTGATCATCTTCAAGAGGAAGATCAAACTGTTTGATCTTCCTCTTGAAAATTATGGGAAATTTTGCTGGTGGGGTTGGAAAATTTGGATTCTCTCCACCCCCTCTGGTTTTTCTTTTCGCTACGGCCCTGTATGCTAGTATTCCTAGCTTCGAGAATAGATAGATTCATTTTCAAATCAGAAATTCAAAAGCCGCTCCTGTGCCTCATAAAATTTAACGGCCTCTGCAGGCCACGAAATTTGTTAATGTAATGTAATGTTCTACATACTCCATGGTTGTTGGTGTCCTGTGTCTGTAACTCTGCTGGATTATGTTCCAAGCTTCGACAGAGGTCAAGAAGGTGAGGTCGATGTGATATATTCTGGTGAGCAAATTATAAAGTATTGAGAAGCAAATAAACCCAAATAAAGGATCTCAGAGTTTCATTTGCATGATACGACAGTTTATAGAAATCATTGGCGTTTGGTTTTCGGAAGACGCGGAGTCGGTATAATCTTCACGTATTTGAAGACCAACAAGGGGATCAGTCGGAAATACATCAGCTTCCAAACCTACAGACAGCTGGCTAAGCAAAATGTGGTTTTTCCGTTGAACCACATCGTGTGTTTGTTAGTTTTGCTAAGAATTCAGCAACCATCCAACTGAAGCGGAGCCATAGGCCAATTAAGGATAAGTTTGGCAAATCGAGACGAACTGAGAGAAAAAATAACCCCTCGCGATTGATCGAGGGAGGTTACAAAAAGCTTATGACGAGGTACTCGCGATGACTTGGGATTTTTTGGAGGGGCAGTTAGCGTCAGAGAGTTTAGCAAAAATCTCGTTGAGCGAGCTAAGTCAAGTATTTCGAGCAAGAGGAGTTTTCTTATTTTGAGAGTCGGTCACGGGCAGTCTTTGGAAGATAGTTTTCCTGGGTTGAATCTTCGAAAACTGGCGGTTGACGTGATTTCAATTATTCTTTTATTCGGTCCTAAGGAAGATCAAAAGTGGGTGAAGTCCGAGTGGAAATTGAGCGGTGTACTGCAAAAATTGAAACAGAATTTAATTCCGTATGCCGATACGAGTTTAATCGTGTTATAATCGAGTTCTCCGTATGTTTATGGATTTCTATGGCTTCCCGTACAAGCCGACTGTGGTATCCATGATCCGGAGCAAGTAGGTTCACATCTTCGGTTCTGTATGTAACCCTGGGGATGTACGGTAGAAATGCACGTGCAACCGTTTGAGTTTCCTCCCTATTTTGACTTGTGGAAGTCTTTAGTTTCATGGCCTTGTTGATCTCGGTTACACTGGATCCATTCGACCTTTTAAAGCCACTTGAAGAGGCTCCAATTCTTCTTGTAGGTGTTCAGGGTGTTGATAATTTCCCGCTTTTGACTCGGATGGTGGTTCGAAAGTACATGCAGATATCTGTCCGTATGTGTCGGTTTTCGGTACACTTTATGTGTCAGTCGTATGCTATCCGTTGTTCCTGGTCAGTCTCCATAGCGAACATTATGCTAGGGTGTTGCGCATTCATTTGGTCTAGAAATAGGTTCAGTCTATCTCTCCCATATCTCCAGATGACGAAGATGTCACCTTCGTAGCGTTGATTGCCTTCTTCTCAAATTGCTCCATGAAGATGTTGGCTATCGCCGGGCTGACTGGACTTCCAATCGCTACGCCGTCTAATTGCCCATAGAAATCTCCTTTCCATTGGAAGTAACTTCCCGTGAGGCAGGCATTTGAAGAGTTCGACAATATCACTAGGAAGCAGGTTGGCTATCTCTCTCAAAGAATCATTCAGCGGGACATTGGTGAACAAGGACACAATGTCGAAACTGAGCAGGATATTACTTGGCTCCAAGGTTATATTCCTAGCTTTTCCCACAAAGTTTGTCGAATCCTTGACGTGCGAGGCTGTTTCTCCAACATGAGGCTGGAGGAGCGATCTAGGTGTTTTGACAAGTAAATGTGTAGGCAAGCCCGGTGCATTCAATTATGGGTCTCAATGGAACTTCTATTTCATGTCAGTGTGAGTGAATTTCCATTACTTCTAAACTCTCTCGACCCAAAAATCCCATTGACAATGGAACGAGAAACCCAAGGCACTCTGACCTTGAATGTTCATGTGAACAGCCGTGAATCCGGTACATTGGGCCACAGAGTGTACAGGAAACCAACACACATCAGGGAAAGAATATTTGAAAAATAATTTAGATCATTAAAACTTTGACCTGAGGTATCTTATGACACAACAAGCTGACGTTAATTTACTCATTACTGCTTTTACCTGATCAGTCCAACGCAATTCTTTATCTATCATAATCCCTAAAACTTTGGAGGAAAATGTTACATCTATTTCGGAATTGTCTATATTGATATGTAGTGGGGCTTCCGTACCGTTTCTGAAATGTATATAATTGGTTTTATTTTTATTGATTAGCAGATAGTTCTTTTCACACCACTCAACAACTCGAGAGACTGTTACATCAGATGTTTCATTCAGAGAATAATTAACCCTCTTTGACACAACAACTGATATGTCGTCAGCAAACAAAAAAGCTGAGCTGATGTCTATTTGGGGATTTATGTCGTTGATAAATATCAAGAAGAGAATTGGACCGAGTATGGAGCCCTGAGGCACTCCTATGACAGTTTGTACTTTTTCGGAGTAGAATACCAAAGATTTGAAATAATTTTTAGATGAGATACCGACTATTTGTGTTCGGTTGCTGAGGTAAAATTTTATTAGATCATTGGCTTTTTTTCTAACACCATAGCGCTCTAGTTTTAGCATTAGTGGCTCATGATTAATGAGGTCAAAAGCTTTCGTTAAGTTAAAATAAATATCAGTTACTTCATTGCCTTCATCGAGTTGATCAATTATATGGTTGAGTGAATCATAAATTGCAGATTTGGTGGATCTATTAGAGAGGAATCCGTACTGATTCATCACAAATATATCATTTTCAATAAAATACGACAATAGCCTATTGTAAATGAGGCGTTCAATTATTTTTGAAAAAGCTGACAGAATAAAAATTTTTCCCCTTTTTGTAAACTCGCACAATTTTGTCAATTTTCAATGCATCAAGAAATATACCAGTAGAGAAGCATTCATTTATTATATCTGCTAGTGGATGACAAATTAGGATCCCTACACGTTTAACAGTCCGTATCTCATCAACACCAACTGAAAATTTTGGTGGTAGGGCCATTATAGTACGCCGTACTTCATCAGGGCAGGTTGGTTTCAAGAACATGGTGGTTATTTAGGTTTATTTGGTTAAAGGGAGTACCTGTATCTGTTCTATACCTTGATGTATCAAAGTGATCACTGACGTGTTTTGCAATTTGCTGCGGATTTGTAACACATTCATCATTAATTTTTAGAAAGGAACTTTAGATTTTTTTTGTTTGTTATTGAACACGGTACACGTATTTTTAACTTTATTCTGCGAATTATTGATAATATTGTCGTTGTACTCTATTTTAGCCCTGATGATTGGATGCTTGTATTCTTTTTTTTCAGGCTTATATTTCAGGTGCAAATTTTCAAGCTTAGTTTCTTTGTAAAATTAATACATATCGCGCAATCTCCGCGCCCACTCCCTGATCTCGGATGTTACCCATTCTTTTAGTTTTTCTTTTTGAAAATATTGTACTTTCCTAAAAGAAAATCCGATGTCAAAATAGTAATAAAAAATTCTTAAAAAAGTATTGTACATTGAATCTACATCAATTTGTGTATTTACTTCTTGCCATCCCTCACCACTTCTTCCATTCTGAAAAGAATATTCAACTACCAGCCAGAAAGGACACTTTGAAATTTATCGCGGTCATAATAACAACAATTAGTGACATAATTCGTCATTCAATGTTATCTACGAGGGTGATCCCAGAAGTACTCAGCCAGACCTAGAGATGGCGGTAGTTTTTTGAAAAATATCACTGTATTAGAAAGTACACAATCTATAAAGCATATGTTTCAAGTTTGAAGACGCGGAGTCGTTTAGTATTTGTTTGGCAGCCATCAATAGCAAACGTTTTCGGTGAATTTGTGAAAATGGAGAAAAGTGATCATCATTATGTGGTACGTTATTATCATTTGGAAGGCCTGAGCGCAACCAATACAAAAACAGAACTGGATTCTACTTTAGGTGCCGCGTTTGCTCACACTCGAGCAAAAACAGTATTGTGAAGATGTTTCAATTGAGTTTTCAGCGAATTTTCACAGCAACGAAGAAGAATTCTTGCGTCCAAACATGGGTCCATTACTTCACACCCGAGACAAAGGAACAATCAAAACTCTGTGGACTTAAAAGTGCTACAAAGCAGGCAAAGACCGTTTCATCTGCAGCCAAGGTCACGACATCGGTTGTTTTGGGATGCGCGTGGGATAATTTTCATTGAATATCCTAAACAAAGGTAAAACTATCAACGGTTAGTATCAAGCGAAATTATTGCAACGTTTGAGTGAAGAAACCAAGCAAAAACAGCCGCAGTTGGCGTAATGACCAAAATTTACGAATTAAAGTTTGAATTGCTACCTCATGCACCCCATTCGACAGATTCAGCCCCCAAACTTGAAAAAATTGGTCAGTGGTCAAAGATTTTTCAACGTTGAAGAAATGATGTCGGCAGTTAATGGCTATTTTGAGGAGCAATACAGTTCTTATTATAAAAACGGTATCAAACTTATTGAAGGTTGCTGGAAAAGGTGTATAGAGGTGCAAGGAGATTATGTTGAAGAATAAATACATTTTTTCAAAATGTTTGTGTTTTCTTTGTTGGACCGGGTACTTTTGGGCCTCCCCTCGTACAATTTGCATTACTACCTATTACTCAGTAATAAAGAATTTAGAGGGCAAACACTTACTCTGTTTTCGTTGAACTTGATGACAGTACAATCCAGATTATAGTTTTCCAATATAGGATCAAAGTATCTACCAACGATCACATAGGTTGTGTTCCCCAAAGTGAAAAACTCCACTTTGGTGATGTGGCCAGTAATGAAAGTGTCATACTGATAGAAGAGTCCGTCGGAATTTGATGTAGACTTTGTATTCCAGGTCAAAGTAGAAACTTCGTTCAGAACTTTTGATGTTTTGGTACTGAAAAACAAATCAAATTTGACCAAGCAGTTCGCAGTTTCCTAATACGAGTGTATGGATTGGGTTCAACCAATGACATACGAGTAGAGTTGTAGTCTAGCTGGCCAAAAGTCAGTTTCACAAAATGTAGCAAGTGTAGAGTCCAGAAGAAAAAACTACCCGTTCAACTCCGGTTCTCTCAGTTCAATGGAAATTGTCAAATGAGTATCTACTTGAATTGAAGGGGTTATATTTTTAGGAGTGATTAATTTTTGAGAAGGAAAGTTTTTGGCTTTCTACTACTCCATCTTGATACAAAAAAAGAAGGATGAGGGAGTCTTCCAAAGAAAGGAAGGAATTAATCAACGTATTCCAAAAACACTTTATTGTGAGATTTTCACTAAATTGTTTTACAAAAACGCAACACGTGTTTCGCCATACAATGGCTTCATCTGGCGTGTCTTTCAATTAATCAATTTGAAAAGAAGTAACTCTATACGTGGATGTGTAGATCATGCAAAGAAGTAACTTCCAAACACCAACTGAAAGAAAGTCCTCCTGAAACAGCTACTTTCATATAAACATTGAATTACACGAATGAAAAAAATCTTTCGAAACAAATACTTTTATATGAACACTGAATTATAGAGAAGATACTTTTCTCTACTCAGTTTGTATTTCAAACATTCGTTGTGGAATAAAAATCAGATATCATTCACATGACTTCTACTTTAAATGAATGTTAACAAATTGCACTTATATGGAACACTGTCGTCCTCACTGGTATACATCGATGTTTCGCCCCAAGGCTCTTCAGTACCAAAGTAGAACTCATGTGAATGATATCTGATTTTTATTCCAAACTTTCGTAACATTCTCCCACCTGAGAAATATTATTATTCGTAATATTATTTATCACATAACATCAAGTATTGAATCTGGCAGGTTTTTTCGAAATTCTGCCACTACGCATTTTCATAAAGGAATCGGATACTCTGCTTTTTGAATTCACCCCCGCACTATAATCTTCTGGAAGACATGGCGACTGGGATTCTTCTGCAACATGTTCCAATCGTGATTTCACAGAAACATCCGGATCCAAGCATTTCAAAGGATGCTTCTGTACTGGTCGAAGAATTTGACCATTCTTAGTTTGAACTCGCAAACCAAAGTTGTTGAATCTTCATAGTCCAGGGAAGCCCAACCCAACACTTTTCGGAGAAAATCTTTACAACACCAACTAAACGTTTCCAGAACCCACCCCACCATGCGGCTGTCGGAGGGTTGGTACGCCAAGTAATGCGCTGCGACAAACACTGTTCCGAAATTTTAGACCAGTCAAGTTTTCCAAAAGCATTTTCTAGACCAACGAAACATCTACCGTGGTCACTATAAATTGTCTTAGGCCGACCTCTGCTCTAGTTAGTTGGAGGTGTACCGCACGATAAACGGCACAAGTGAATAGACAAATGTAAGCTTTGTCTCTGTTTCTCAAAAACAAGGGTCCAGCAAAGTCGATACCTGTTATTTCAAACACATTGGCATCGCGAACTCGATCGATTGGTAATGGTGGGGAGTTAACAGTCAACTTTTTTGCATTGAATTTTCTACCCGTGAAGCATTTAAAAATTACAGATCGAACGGCACGATGTCCACCTAGTACCCAATACCGCTCTCGAAGAATGTCCCAATCCTTGATTTCCTACATGACAAGACCGTACGTGCTCCTGAAAAATGATTTGATGAACTGTAGGATGTTTAGCAGGTAGTAAAATAGGAAAACGAAAACTCTCGTAGTCTGTACGAGGTGATACTCTAGATTTAAGACGAATCAACCCATTTTCATCACAGAAAGGAGACAGACTGATGATGGTTTTATCCTTTTCTTTGTCAGGAGAACTTTCTTCTTGAACAATTTTCAAAATGAATTTTTCATCGGCGTTTAATTCCTCGCAAGTCAGTGACCCACAATTCCGGCTAGCTTTTTCAGTTTTCACGTTGAATATAACTCTGAAGACAGCAGCCAGTACCTTTACCGTTTGGAAGAATTCTAAGAAAACAGTTAAATGCAAAAAATCAGAGCAAACACTATCAAGAAGTGTAGTGATCAACTTTTTCCTACGCTCACTGTAGATTTCTTCTTCATTGCAGTTGACAGTGTCACTAGGCCACTTATCTGGCATTTCATAGAGCCATGCTAGCCCCTCCCATCATCTCGAGCGGAGTAAAATTTTTGAAGAACTCGGGACACTGTTAAGAACTCTTTCATTTGGAAAACTGCTTTCACGTGAAATTAACTTCCAATGAACATTTTTCCAAATGGATTTAATCGCTACTTTCCCACAGGCACCCCTTAAACAGAGCCTTAAGGATTCTCCTGTAGTGCTTGTGTTTTATACTTAAAAAAAAAGAAAAGAGTAGAGATAGAAATTAGATCCTGAAGACATACTAGTGAGCTTCGACGTGGTTCCGATAGAGGACACGATGTGGCTAATTAGCAAAGTATTCCAGCAGATATAAGCGCCCTCTTTGCTAATTGTTCATCATCAGCTTATTTCCAGTGGTATGGTGTTTTTTAAGAACAAACTGATAATACCGCGATAGGCAGTCCAATAAGTCCGGCGTTTCCATTTTTGTTCATGAAAGATTTCGAACAGGCCTTCGAGCAAGCGGCCATGAAACCAAATTGTTGGCTGTGTTCTTGTTCACGTCTGGTTTTGTGAACAAACAAGGTCAGGTAGTCCAATTAAGAAAAACCAAGCCACGCCCACTGCTAACAATATGAAACCAAAGTCAAATACAAGCATCATAGTCAATGCTTTCGGAACAAAGGTAGCACCAACTTGGACACTGCGACCGTTACCACATCGCTTTTGATGATGTCTACCGCAGTAGTAGACGAAACGTTAGGCATGAAAAACCTGCACACCACGGCTGAAAAACACGAAAATAGCTTTCACACAATCATATTTTTGTTGATTTTTGTCATTGTGAGGTTCAAAAGGTTTATCGAATCATGTATTATCCATTCTTGATTATATTTTTTCGAAGATGAACTCGATTTATATTTTTGAATTTTCAGTGGTAGCTCATTGGATATTCTAGGGCTCAGGAAAATAAATCCTCTCCGCCTATTGATTATTGGCATCCAGTACAACTTCTCATTTTTGTCTGTACCTTGTTTGATATGACTGTGTTATTTCCTGTTTGTTTCTGTCTCTGAAGTGTGGGACCAGGATGTTTTGGTAAATACCCCACATTCATGGCATTGGGATACCTGAATATTTCATTGAAAATAATCTTCAGCATCGAGTTTTGCAACGTTTTCATTATATCCATTATAGTTATTGGTGAGCCCATTCACATGCCCATATCAATTGTGACGGTGATAATGCATAATTCAATATTTTAGGTTCTTTGATATTTTAATTTTGGCTCCTGAATTTATTGGGTAGTACTTTGGCCTGCACATTACATCCGAGGTGGCTATCTAAGAGTATTTCCAGATATTTTATGTCGTTTTTAGATTTCATTTTCATGGAAAAGTTGGATTGAATTATTTTTAGATTTTGAAAATTTGTCAGTCCTTCACTATAGCTAGTAAATGGTACGGAGAATATTTTTGATTCAATAATGGCGAGTATTCTGCTGCTGAAAAAAACATTATTTCACTGAAATCGTATTCTTTCTTGGTTTTAAGGGAGTCCTGTAAGTTCTCTTCGAAAAATACTGGCCTACCGTCTGCAAAGCTGATAATATATCCGTCGGATGGTGAGTTGAATAATAATTCGTTTCTATAGATAGTAAACAGGAGCAGTCCTAATATCGTTCCCTGTGGCACTTTTTTGGTTATTTTAAGAAAAAAAAAACACATGCACTACAGGATTTTTTGGATTCTTCAAAAGTTTCACAATTTCCTTTTTGCCTATTCATTATTCATTATAATATTTGCTAACCGATAATTTCTTAATTTTATTTTTTCAGTTTTCTAGTTTGTAAAACAAACAGACATTCATATATCTTCTCTAGTGGCTAATGTATCGGAAAATTGAGCATATTCTGCTCATTGAAACATCTCAATCGGACCAATAAATATAACAAATGATCAGACTCCTCTTTCCCAATGGGTACTTTGGGCAAGTGCTTAGGGCCCCGCAATCGATAGGGGCCCCCCTCAGGTCAAATACAAAAGTTCCTGTCAGATCACCAAACGATAACCAATATTTATTACCAAAAATCTTATATAAATCGAAGGAATCGAACCTAAATTACTGACTACAATACCAACTTACTAGCTTTTACAAAGCTATTCTACTCTCCCCCAAAAATTAGGCTTTCCGACTCCATATAAATTGAGCGAACGAAGCGAAGTATGAAGCTTCAAGTTTGAATTAATCAATTATTTAGTTGAGAAATTACATAAAAAATTAAAATCCAAACTCTCCAAACCAACTCTCCAACCTAACTGACTAAAATGTTCGTGGTCATCTTCATTTTCTTCAGGTTGGAAATTTTCCCTTACACTTTCAACTGAGATTCGTCAAGAGGACGAGTGACTCATAATGTGCGGTATTTTGGTGGCGACATAAAGGTCAGTGACATCTATGCCGCTGTGGTCTTGTGTACCCCTTCCTGACTGGGGTATTTGATGAACAAACTGTTCATTTTGACAGACGCCGTAGGGCCTTCACTCAACCGAGCGACATGGCCTTCTGAATCGAGTGGGGTCGTCTATAGTGTAATCTACGGCTTCCCTGACTAATGGGTTATCATGAGTTTCCGCTGACTCGAAAACTCTCCGATTCCTCGACTGAATGGACTGCCGTATAGTTAACAGCTTCAACTCTTTGCGAATGGATTCATTGCGGACTAACCTTGGAGCATTCAACAGCATCCTGATTAGTTTGTTTTGCAACCTTTCCAAAATGGAGAGGTTTGACGAGGTGGTTCGTCCCCAAGCGCCTGAAGCATACATGATGACAGGCTTGAACATCGTATTGTATTGACTAAAATCTACGAGGCCTCCACTTCTTATACTCTCGTCCTTGTTTATCTACTTCCTTTGTCTATTCTAACAAAATAGTGTTATGTCAAAGTCATAGGGGCCCCATTATCCTATTATGCTCAGGGCCTCCGATAGGTTAAAGACGGGCCTGCAAATGATATGTCAAATGATTACTGATAAGTGGCGAGTACAATAATGGGCTTACTGGCATTTTCCAGGCTTATAAACGATATTTTGCTTTTCAAGCGTATTGTTTCTGTAGTTCCAGATATTCCGTAATAATTATAAAGTAAGATAAACATACCTGCAATTAGGACTAGTACTAACACTGTTAGTTGTGAAATATACAGTCATGCTTTCGTCGTCATAGCTGAAAGATCTTTGGAAACCTTTATTCGGGAAAAGTGTAACTGAATGTTCCGGTGAAATTTCTATAGTTGACTCATGAGGACATTGACAAAACTCTGGCAATCCACAAGATCCACCCGACTCATACCCTGTGACATGGAACAGAACATAGCCTTTGGAGACAGCGGTCGAGGCACTAACAGTGTTTTGAAGAGATATCTGTAGTTCGTCCGACTTCTCTAGATACATATATTCCCTAGGTAAGGCTGGAACAGAACGAGAAAAATCAGGTCTACAAGGAAGGTGAAAACACTCAAAATTATGACGCAATATAAATAATTTCAGACTTTTCAGAAAGACAAGAGGCTCAAAGTTCTTCCGCATGAACCAAAGTACACCAACGGATTGGTCCGAATTTTCGAAAAATTAAATATGAATGAAATTTATTTACGTCATTATCATTAAATTAAATTATCAATTTACGTCAGTAAATTGAATATGAATGAAAACTTACCTTGTACAACATCAATGTTACGCAGAACTTGCTCTATTACTCGATCTTTCAGGTCGTAAATCTCTTGAACCTCTGTTTTGATATTGCTCCTGTCTAAGATTTCTTTTATTTCAGATATGAGATGTCCATTAATTGACCCTGTATCTACATTTCCTACAAGCTGTGACGGACGCAACACCCTCTGGAAACAGAAAATAACTCAAGAACATTTTCAAGTTAATTCGAGTCACTCACAACACTCCCATTCAAGAAAACCGATTCTCCCAAAAGAACACTTTTTTTATATTCTTCGGATATTTGCATTCCATTGATTGAGTCGGTGATAATATTTCCGAAAACTTCCAGTTTCTTCTTGAACCGCTTCTGACCTGAGATGGTTTGGCCAGGTTCGTCAAAAACTATGTTTTTTGTTTTAATCTGATTGATTTTCGGAGTAAAAAGATCTGAAAATAAAATAGTTCAAATAAGTTACATCTAAACTTACAAATCTAATTCACAATGGAACGTGAAATCCAAGACAATTAGCCCTCTTGGACGTAAACAGACGTGAAGGCAGTACTTCAGGCCACATAGTGTACAGGAAACCAACACACACACAGACAGGTACCTGAACGAAAACTCTAACCATCAGCCACAGAGAAGGGTTAAACGTTGTTTGAGAGAGACCGACGTATCTGTGAACCTAGGAGTCTTTCTTCTTGAGGAACTCGATCATCTAAAAAGTCTCCAAAAGAAATAGGTACAGTGAAAAAGAATTCGAGCGGGCCATACGACACAGAAGAGAGAACACCAAAGTAACCCCACCTAGGCTGGTCAAGAGAAAAGCTTTCCTTCCCTATGTTAACAATGTTCCAGACCGGATTGGGGGAATCTCAGAGAAACACGACGTGAAACCAATATTTAGGACAACAAGAACTATCAGACAAAGTCTAAGGTCAGCTAAGGACCCCAGAGAATCTTCAGCAACACCCAGGGTGTACCAGACTCCTTGTAGCTGTGGTTCGGTCTTCATTGGAACTACGTGGTACTCGTCAGGAAAGATAGCTTGTAATTTCCTCCAAAGCACAATGGACGTTGTTCACAGTTGATGCCTGAGGGAGCGGATGTCTGCCAACTCCAGCAAAACTGTAATAATCCCCTTCACCAGGAGGAGAAAATTGGACGATTTAACGCCACTTTCCCTCAATGGTGAGGTCATTCCATTAAGAAAGTAGATGGAATATGTTGGCATTGTCCTTGATAAAAAACTCACCTGGAACGCTCACTTGGAAAAAGTCAGACTGACAAAGCCAGACTGACCCTAGGGACATGTCAAAGGATTTGTGGTGAAACTTTGAGGTTTGGGTCCCAAACAAATCCATTGGATCTATGTGATGATTGTCAGACCAATAACCGGCCTGGTAGCCAAAGGCTTCACAGAAAAGGGCCCAGGCGAAGCTGTCTGGCTTACAGAGACGGGCTTGTCTGGCCATTAGTGGTGCCATCGGTACCACACCGTCAGCAGCTATGGAGATCCTTCTAGATCCACATTTTTCTGGAGACAGAGGCTAGACGGACTGCATATAGATTTGTGCACATTGCCAATTGCACAAGTCAATTTGATGTAGAGTGCAACAGACTGTTGGTTGATACTGGAAGTCACAGCATTCTGGAAATAACCTCACACTTCAAGCCTCCAACCGTCAACTACGAACTGCCTTATAAAGTACTATTCCCGAGTAGAGAGAAGTGGATCTTTCTGGAGAAGGAAATATTAAGAGCAGATAGTTGTTGGTTGATGGATCAAAAACACCTTCCGGTTTTTGTGCAGGTATTTTCAGTCGCAGGCCCAGGACACAGTTATCTACCTGCCTAGGAACTCATGCGACTGTATTTCAAGCGGAAATTTACGCTATTGAATTGTGTGCAGAGAGATTGGAAGAATCCAAGCTCGGAAGCTTTCGGCTCCTACAGAGCAACGTCTAAATTGGTAGCAAATTGCCAAAAACGACTCTCCTCGATAGGAATACTTAACAGATTGTCTCTGGTCTAGATTCCTGGCCATACTGGCCTGGAAGGCAAACATTTACAAACACGGCAAGGGCGTTATTCTGTGTTTGATAAACAAAGGTTGGCAGTGTTCTAGATAGCTTACAAAGGACAAGATCCTGACAGCTTCTTTTGGTAAACGAAAAATTGAGAGAGAATCCGATGAACCACCCCAAAGAATAGTAGCGTAATTTAAATTGGTTACGGTTTGAAGTTATCTTAGGACGACAGAGCACTGCAGAGTTTACTTTTCAATTTGATAATATAAGGTTTTCAAGATAGATCACTATCCAGAGTTACTCCTAGCAAACTTGCAGAATGAGTTTCTATGACATTCGTAGACGAAAGAAAAAAAGACTGTGATTCATCGTTGAGTTTATTGGCTGCAAACCAGTTGTCGAATTTATTTGCTAAATCTTCGTGAATTCCCAGCAGATCTGATCTCAGTTTACCAGAATAAATGAATGACGTATCATTTGCACATGAAATAGTTTTCAACTGAACTATATAGTTACTTGAGCCGTTAGTGTGTAGTATGAACAACAATGGTCCTATTATTGAACCTTGAGGGACACCATGCTCATTGTGTTGGAAATCAGATAAGGAATTTCCAATACCTACCTCTTGAAAGCGGTTTTTCAAAAAAGATTGTATCATATTCAGTGGTATCCTCATAACCCCGTAGTAGTTTAATTGTCTACCGCAATAGTAGGCGAATCGTTAGGCATAAAACCCTGCAGACCACGGTCAATAAACCCAGAAAACAGCTTTTACTCAGTCATCGCCGGCCGTGAAAGTTTACATTCTTTGGAGTTTCATCAGTTCACTGAGTATATTGCCAAAGTCCTAACAAGTTTAGAAAATATGACTTCTTGAATGAAAATAATTAATTTTGAGATGGCAAGTTGGCAACTTCATGGGATGAAGGAGAGGGTACTAAACATTGTATTTGTAACAAAATTATAATATGGTCATAAAATAACATTTCTTCGAATGTTGCAAGACAGTCGATTTCAGTCGAAATTTCTCTTGATTGATCAGTCTGTGGAAGTGACCAGATGTTGAAGAGCAATACTCACTTTCTGCCTCTAGATACTCGAAGAAGAGGATGCCTTTTGCTGTTTGATTATCGACACCTTTCACGAGCAAGCGATTTTCCAGGGCATCTTTAAAATTGATGTTGTTGAAGAATGTTATGTTCAAATCATTCTCCACATCCAGAGTATCAAATAAAGCACTGGGCACCTTCTTAGTACTGCCATCTTGTACAATGTTGTCTGGGTCAAGATTTGAAATTTTTTTAGTCTGAAATATGAAATAGACTCGACTGAGAATGAACAGTAACACAGAAATGAACATTAACAATGGAAATATCTTACTCGTATTCTATTGGTTTGCAGACCAGAGAAGAACGTTTTTTTGCCTCTGATGATTGTTTGGTCTATTTTATTTTTATCGACAATGGCGTCATTGAGTTCTTGAATGTCCTCTCCATTAACTATTCGAATGTCTGCGTTTTGGAGTACAGTGACTGTCTTGGCTTGAATAGAGGAAAACCATTTCTGACCAGTTATAGTCTGAAGAAAATATACATAGCAATTCACAGTATAAAGTCATAAACAACAAAGTAGTGATTTTTTCCATATCAAAACTATATTACTTTTCTGTATAGTTATATTAAACATATTGCATCGAACATCACTCAGACATCAATCAAACAAACACCCTATTTTTTAAATAAAATAAACAAACAAACCATGGAGAAATTGACGTACATATTACACAATTCCAACCACATACATCTTCCACAGACATATGTATTTTTCACATCAACATATTGATGTAGCTGTGCCCTGGGCAAACGCTCAATTCGTTTACTTATTCATTCATTTATTATTATCATTATTATCCAAATAAGCTATTACATCCTAATAACATGGATTGAAAAAAGTAGAAGTTTATGTAATTCTGGAAATAATTACGAATGTATAAAAATAGTAAAATAATTCCGTGTTAGGGATCATACGTTAAAATGTAAGACCTCGTTAGTCCTTAGTAGCACAAGATTCGACTTTTGAGAGTTGGGGAAGGGTCCAGTCAAGATCTATGAATATCTTAAGATCTGTTTAAGATCTGTTTTTCCGTTAATCAGCAGTCGCCCCCAAACGAGCGACAACTCTCAGAAGTTGAGAAACTTGTGCGAGCTAAGGACTAATGAGGTCTTACCTTTTAACGTGTGATTCCTAACACAGTTGCAGAATCATCCCAGCTTCAACCAGATAAATTATCTCCAGAAAAATATCTGATCGAGGCGGGAATCGAACCCACGGCTTTCCGACCGTGAGTCGGGCGCACTACTACCGCGGCCAATTCCATTAAAATGATTAACCAACTTGAGTTTCGGTACTTATGGTTGGAATATTGAATATGATATTAATGTTTGTTTGAAGGTGGTTGACAATGTTTCGCGGTGTATTTCATCAGTTCGGACATGTCCTGTGTGAGTGGGTTTTCAATATACAGATGTTTGCCATTTAGTGTCGGTCCTCTTCACCAATATGTCTAAGAACGGCAATTCGTTGTGGACTTCCTCCTCCATTGTGAGATGGAGGGACTTGCGTTGTTGATGTGCTTCAGGAAAGTGTCTAGTTCTGTATTCCTATCGTTCCATTTTATGACGGTGTCGTCAACGTATCTCAACCAGACTCGAAGCTTGTAGTGGGCTTCTTCAATGGCCAGAGTTTCAAACCACTCCATAAATATATTGGCTATAACCGGTGAAAGTGGCGATCCCATTGGCAGTCCCTCATCTTGCGTAAAGAATTCGTCCTTCAGTTAATCTTTTTATTTTTTTTTTAGGGATTTCAAATCAATTTATATCATATCAGACAATGAAAGTCCGAACTGATGAAATATGATATTAATGTGCTTAAGTTTTCAAGTAAAATCTATTTGATATTTTCATTTTTCGAAAAGCGTATAGTTGGCATTTCAACGCTCAATATCTTCCAATCCAGTAAGGCTACCTTTTCAATAAAGTAGCCTCGACACCTTGTCTTTTGGAGATTTAAGGTTTTGCAATAGTGTTTTGGTCAAAAACTTGTCCTCCTCACAAGCAAACGTCGTGTGTTTTTTGAATGTTCTGCGAGAAGTTCTCTTCCTTGCGATAATCCACCGTATATACACTTACCTGAAGACTCTCAGATTCAGTTAATACAGCGTCTTCCAAAATATCAGTTAGGTTCAAATTGTTTATATTTTTCTGGGTGTTGACATTTTCAGCTCGAACATTACCAGCAAATGAAACCTAAAACATTTACTTTGAAGAAGTGGTTACTAATAAACATTCAAGATAACTCACAGGAGAGAATATCACATTTTTGGTATTCATCTTCACCGAGTTTTCCAGAATTCTATACAATACGTTTTCGTTATCAAGTAACGAAACATTTCCTTTCACTTGAATTTCAGACCAATTTTGCGAAGGCGGATCTTTGATAAAATTCAACAGATCTGTCAACATACAAGGAGTCATAGATTTTGGTTCCATGGAGTTCAAAATTGCTTCTGTGAATCTCACACTGGGGCTGTTTATTTCTTGGAGACTTTTACTCGAAACGTCGATCAAAATAATTAAATACAATATGAGCCAATGGCCACAAAATAAGGTTGATTTTTGATAGTGTCTTTCTCTTTTGATACTAATTTTGTCAGCAAGCTGATTATTGATAACAACTGTATTTCTTTATAATTAGAGGCCCGACCCTGTTTCGCACGGGTAGCATATATGCCAACATTGTTTTTCTTTCCCAATGTTACATCAGTTTATCGATAAAAGAAGTTTCCGTTTTTACCCGAAGAGCATGCTTTTAAAAATATGGGATCCGGAAGCTTAGCCGTCTGGAAAGTTCCAGAATAGTCCAGTACATTCAAGAGTATCCGAAAAAATTCCACCACATTCCAGAACATCCCTGAACATTCAGGAATATGGTGGAAGCTTCGATAATAATCTTGAACGTTCCCCATGCGTAAGAAAAGGCTCCTTTTATATATGAAAAATTTGTAGAAGAGTCCAGAATAGTCAAAAGGCATTCTAGAAGCATTTCAGAACATCCTGGAATGTTCGGGCAACTTTCTGGAATATCCCAAATCTTTGTGGAGAAATCCCGTCCATGAAGGTTTTCGTTTTCAGCCGAAGAGCGTAGTTTTGAAAGCACAAGGCTGGAAGCTTCGCATTCCAGAATATTCAGGATCATTCCACAACAATACAGAATAAAGTGGAACATTCTATAATGCTGACAAATGTTTGGAAACAGTCTGGAACGTTGTTACTATTTCGATAATATCCCAAATGCAAACCCTACCACCGACCAGAGAAATGGAGGTACTAGTGGAAGAGTGTGCGAAAGCACACATAAAAAAAAATCGTGTTCTCTTTTAGGTATTCATTTTAGGTTTTTAGGCCCCCAATATGGAGATGGAAGAAAAACTAGAGTGCTTAGAAAGGGAAAACTACAGGCTCAGACAGCAAAGGAAAGAGCTTACGAATATGATTAAGCAGCTAAACGAAAGGCTTAATCAGGTAGAGGGAATACTCGCCCAAAGAAAGAGGACGGACACGGGACCGTCCAGGACACAAAAAGAAAAAGGAGAAGAAAAGTCCGAAGAGACCGACACAAAACAACAAGAGCAACCCAAGGAAAGGGAAATAGGCGCCGAAAATAAAGAGGAAACGCGCCAAACCAGGCCACGCGGCCCGGACAGCGCATCGAAGTCAGACTCAGAGGAAGACGGGTTCGTACTTGTTGAAAAGGCTTGGCCCAACAAGAAAACCAGAAAACGAAAGGCCCAAGACAAAGCCGCAAAAATCGTCAAACAAGAGGCAGAAAAACAGACTGTCAAAAACATGGAAACGGAAAACACACCTCAGACGAACAACACAGAGGGACAAAACTCAGAAAAAGGGGAATCATCCCCAAAAGTGACAAGTGGACCACCGATAGAAGCAGGAAAGCCCCCACCAATAGTAATCCACGATGCCAAAAAGTGGAGTGCAATATCCAAAGACCTGGAGCAGAGAAAGATAGGTTACAATAAAGCCAAACTCACGAGGGATGGGATATAACTATTCACCAATGATGAAAACGAGTGGCGTAAAGCCATCAAATACCTGGAAGGCGTAGAACTGAACTTCCACACATATTCAGTAAAGAAGGAAATCCCATTGAATGCGGTTATCTGCGGCATACCAGAAAATGTAGAACCAGCAGACGTCGCCAACGATCTGACAAAACAAGGGTTTACTGTAATAGAGTGTCACAGGATGACCTTAAGAAGATATAGGAAAGTACTGCCACTGTTTTTGGTGAAAGTACCAAAAAACGAAGAAAAGATTTTTGCGCTAAGAACATGCGTAAACTTGATAGTACGGGCAGAACCCCAAAGAGTTAACAAGGGACTGGTTCTTGGAAGCACTGAGAAACGCTCGATGCATAACACAAAGCCGCCGGTTAGTTTTTGGGGGGCCCCATGCTTAAATTCAGTTAGGAATAGTGAGATAAAACAACGATTCAATAAGAAAGTAAAAGCACCTAAAGGCTGACTTTCGACCAAAAAGAGGTCATATGTCAATCTTGCTGAAGTGCCATCCGCAAGTTGAGGACCGCTCGGAGAGCGGGGGTGGATGGAGTGGGGTAGTAGGTTCTCCTCGCTAAATAGCTGGGGGAAAAGAGCATACGTGGCTTATGAGCAATGTCGGAGGACAGTGGGACGCGCATGGGGTCTTTCACCCCGTGTGGTCACCTGGATCTACACTGCAATAGTAAGAACTATGTTAACGTATGGAGCCATTGCATGGATACCGAAAGTTCTACAAGCAACGGCCATTCAAAAATTATATCAAATACAGCGACTGGCTTGTTTCAACATCACAGGAGCCATGAGAACAACACCAACCGCGGCAATGGAATTAATCACAGGTCTGACCCCTCTGGATCTGTACGCTAAGGAGGTTGCGTTAATAGCCATGGTACGATTGCGCACGGCTGGTGTAACCCTCGAAGTAGGAATGAAGGCTCAGGATGTGGAGTGTACTCCATATCACTGAGCCTAAGGATTAAGTGGGGAATGGGAAGAAATACTAGCGTGGTACAAACAGAACTAGTTGGTTATCGAAATAACCAAGAAAGGAATTTCTGGCAAAAACATAACAATCTGCACTGATAGCAAACAAGCACTATTAGCCTTGAACAGACAGCGTGTTACTTCAGGGCTTAGAGTGCCACCAAGATTTAGCCAAAGCCTCGGTAGATAATAACATTATCCTGAGGTGGGTTAAAGGGCACGACAGGACTAAAGGTAATCGCATTGCCGACTCTTTAGCCAAGAAAGCAGCTGGACTAAGAATTTTAGGACCCAGTGGCACCCACGGCCTGATGACTTCGACAATTGCGGAACTAGTCAAATGTTACACCCTTGCTCAATCCTTAAAGAGATGGGATGAAATAAAAGGATGTAATCTTGCCAGGATCACCTTGGGCGACCCTGGGAAGCTGGCGCCGAAGAAATATCTGGCGATGACCAGGAAAAATCTACGCCTTACAGTAGGATTTCTGACTGGCCACTGTCAGCTAAGGAAACACCTACATAATATGGGGCTAGTGGACACACCTCTATGCAGGATGTGTGAACAGGAAGATGAGACTGTCAGGCATGTCCTGTGCGAGTGCCCGGAGTTATCGTCAATAAGAGAGTGTGTGTTCGGCGAGTCTTGGCCTACACCTGCCGATATAAAGGGTATGTCTCCTAGTAACCTGCTCACCTTCCTGGAAAGGACAGGATGGACGATGACCTAGGAGGACAACTCCTTGGGAGGATGTATAATGGGTCACATGTGGCCTAAGTGCGTAGGCTCACACTCACCCTCCCTACTCTACAGATACAGATCCCAAAAGCAAAAAACAAAAGATTTCTTGTGTAGGTGTCGATAGCAGAAGTTTCCGAAAGAATTTGGAGTATATTTTTGTCCCTAGTCATTCTAAACACTATTCGAATCATATTTACCTGCTTTGATACTGCCAAAACTGTACGGTGCAGAGATGGTCTGATTGAATTTTCGAAACAAAAATTTTCCAGTTATATTTTCTAAATCTATGGAATTGAGAAATGATGTACCAAGGTCGCCAACGGTTACTTTTCCAGAAAACCGTACATCTCCAACGATTCCTCCAGAGTCTCCAGTCTTTGGGGCCTGAAAAATTAATGCCTTTAACCATCACATAACAAGAGGAGGCACCTAGCTTGTCTTTCTGGTAACATTAGGCGCTTAATCAGTTTTTTCAATAACCAACGATATGAGCGAGTTCCAAAGACAACTTTTGTCACGCCTTCCTTGAACATGTCATTCAGATGGAAAATTTGTTCGTGCTGAACTCAAACTATTCAGCCTATTCTTTCCACGAATTGGTCAAAAAAAATTCCAAGAGTCTGGTACTTCTCCATACCTCTACTTTAGAAATTTAAAAGAAAATCATTAAAACAGATACTATCTTCACATAGGTTCTAGACAACTCCAGCCTCATCTGTGTTCCTAACGTGTTTGGGGTCTAACGAAAAAAAAATATATAAGTATGACTCACCTTCTCCAATAAGTCTTCAAAAGGAATGTCATTAATTGTCAACAGATCCTTGATATTTGTGACAGTGAGATTTCCTTTCACTATTAAATTTTCGATTCTAGCAGATGAAGATAATAACTTCTCCGAACTTGAAAGGTACTCATCAATTGTATGGTCATTAAGTTTAGTGACCAGCAAATTGGAAGCTGAAAGAAAAAACACTTGGAATGGTCCAAAGATGATGGAAAGGACTTACCATTCAGATCAACGAAATTCAGAGAGGTGATATTATGTGGTTCATCAATGTAAATAACATTCTTTGTGATATCTTCAACAGTTTCTTCATTGATCACCGGCACTTGTGTTAAGGACGAATTCATATTTCCCATAACATTTAGATCTTTGAAAACTTTAAGTCCTGAAAATCCAGTATGAATGAAATAGTCCATGCTGCTGTTGGTATAGATTTTTTATGCACATACCAGTCACATTAGCAGGCCATTTGGTGTTTAGAGTCTCAAGAGCATCAATCCCATCCAATTTTAATGTTGCTAAGTTTTCGGCTTTCAGTGTATCTTCGTATATTTTTTTGCCTTTGATTATGAAACTGAAAAAATTTTTTTTCAATCCTAATTGCCAACAACTTGTTTCTTTTCACCTATGTTTGTATCAAAATAACTACAATAGCCCTATTACAGTTTGACTGAGTTCTATACCGATCATTTTTAACTTAGCATGTTTTATGTGCATGTATGTTTCAACCATTGTTTGTGGTTTTTTATTCAGTGTTTTTATACTTAAGTTTACATTATATTTTATCTATATTTTTATATTCATATGACATTTATGTATTCTTTTATATTTATTTACTAACTTTGTCA